ATTTTGGTTGTTATATACAATATGAAAGTTTAAAGGGTGTGGTTACTTTTGCAAAGCACAGAAGCCACTAGGTGTATGTACGGTGACGCATCATAGAAAAAAGGTTGTGGACTATGTGACCCCTAAAGAACTAAAGTTCCCATTCTGTGTCTTACACTGGGTGTGCACATGGGCACACTTTCTGTTCATAAAACATTAAAGGATTTGTTTTGTTCACCTCAGCTTCAGTCTCAGTTGGACAAATGTAATTTAAAATGTGTAAAACCCTCGGCTGAAGTAACAGTGGACTAATGGTCAGAGTTTTCTCCCCAACACCAGCACTGGTCACGCTTCCATCTGTTGCCTCAAACATTTCTTGCCAGAATCCCATCAAAATGCAGCGACTTCCTATGATTGAGCCTCGCTCAAATACTTAAAATATTATATCATCCATTATTCTGAGTTATAGGCTCAGATGAATAACTATCCACATGCACTACAGCGTGACTAAGATAAGAAAGACCAAAAGAAGGGGAGTGTTAGACCAAAAAGTTTTAAATAAATAACTATCAATTGAGAGCTTTACCAAACCTTTAGCAAACAGTTTAAATCTCTCTCTGTTTGTTTGGTGTGTTAGAAGGTATAAAGATCAAATATGGAAGGTTTGACTTATGTTCTAAACTAAATGAGCTTTAAAAAGTAAGTGGCCACACCTCAGCGGGTTTTACAGAAGTACACACAGTGGGTTGCTCGTACGGTAAGGCACCAGGGTGATCTTGCAGCAATGTTGCCTTGGAGGCTAAAAATATAAATATAATGGTCTGATTGAATACTCAATTCTGATTGGTGTCCATAAAGTGTTGAACAGATTGTTAATGAATCATTTTGCTGCAAACTGTAATTATCTCACTTCATTGATTAGGTCTAATATAAAAAGCTGCAAATATCTTGGCCACGTGTCACAGTGAGACATTAAATGATCCAATCAGCTGCTTCTTGGGAAAGACATGATTTTAAATGTTGAAAAAAAGATGAATGTATTAATAATATATATATTTTCTGTTGTGACAATAGTATTAGCACAGTAAAATGTAATTTGGTTTAAATCCGATGTTTTCCAAACTTTTACATTTGCACGAAGTACAGTATTTGTGTACTTAACAAGTTTTGGATGACAATTTTCTGCTGTTTTTTTTTTTTTTTTTTTTTTCTTCAGGGATGGGACCTAAAAATTATATGCATGTACACCAAATAATGTAGAACGTAAAACATGATTGAATATTTTTAACAAGTTTAACACTACTTCAGTTTATTAAAATATTTAATTGCTAACTTCACAATGAGTGCAGCATTTTAGAGAAGGTCTTTATCAATCATGTTACCAATCATTCCTTAAACTTAAAATCATATCTGATCTCCTCATTGTGGTGCTGTTAATCCTTTCCAAAACCGGCCTTTCTTTTCTGGAGGCCAGTTAGAGCTCAAGATCAATGATGAACCTTTTGTTAACAAATTAATAGCAGCAGACATACGGAGTATTTGGTGGTCTAATAATCAAACTCCTCTACTGCTACAAAATGAAAATTACCCTTAACAACAGAGGAATAATCTGGTTTCACTTTGGGTGTATGTTCAAGCCAGACTTAAAAAAAAACAAGTTAAGCTTTGTGTGATTGTAGCAACAGCCATGAGCAATTCAACAAGAACTTAACCTTCCAGGCAGAGAATTCTCTAAGTCAGCGATTATAGAAAAGGAGTGAGAAATGTACTACACTACAAAAGCTTCACACAGTTAGTTTTAGGGATTGTTGCTGTGGAAGTTATGCTACCACTTAAACATTGCAGCCCTTGGTCAATAATAGTAATATTAATCTAATGCCGCACTATGCAGAATCTCTGTCTGCACCAATTATGATTGTTTTTCATCCTAGTATAATGAAAGTCTGAATGTGTCCAGCCTACTTTACTGCACATTAAGACAAACTAATTCTCTGATGGGGGGGGGGGCTCTACAGAGGTGGCAGCATCAGAGGAAAAAAACTTGTGTAGCGTACCGTACATTTCATACCGTTCGTCTCAGAAAAACGTCTATATATAAAAGGCTATATAAACGAGCACATCACAGATGATATGTTTTAATATTACAGGACTTGATGTTTCACAATATGGATTAGATTTTTTTTTTTTATGTAGGAATAAAAGTACATGTTTCTAATTAATCAATAGTATTGAGCAACCATTTTACATGAATGTTCTACACTAATATGAATGCAAGTCTTTGCTGCTGACTGATGCTTAGTATACCTAAAACTAATATGTTCGCAGTGATTTAATGAATTTAGCATTGATCATTAAAAAGATGATTTTCATCCTGATCACAGAGTCTGTGAACGGCCATTTATGCCCGAATATATTAACACCTCACTCCTAACATCATCCGGCAGTGACGTCACGGTGCCATAAGCCGAGCGCCATTCTCCCCACTTTACAAGCAAAATCAGTGGGAACTACTAGACACGTCTGCGATCAACAACAATTATTTAAAATTTCGAGAGGCTTTCACCATGAAATACACTAGAGCTATAGTTAAACTGACAATGTCCATGTTGCAATACATCGGGTAAAAGCTAAAAAAGATGAGTTATTTCACCTTTCCGATTCATGATCCACAAGTTCCTCATTGGATTGCCAACTTGAAGAGGGAGGATTTGCCATCGAACTTCTGGCCAGAGAAAAAACTCGTCATATGTAGCCGACATTTGGAAGAAGAATGTTTTAAAGATGAGTTGGATAATAGCGCGTTGTGACAAACACCAGATAGATCTCTGGGACTTGCTCAACAGCCGATACCGCACAATGACGTCACAAAACAGTAGTTGGCAGTAGTGTTCTTTGACAAACATGGATGTCTCCAGTAAAGCACATTCAAATGAAAATTACTCTTAATGAAAAACACTTATTTATTGAACAGCATGTAATAATGTCATATTAAAAGAAGTTTGAATTCTGAATATGACCGTGTTCCTTTAAATATTGTTATCATTCATATATAAGAAAGTGATCACTTTTTATTTAGTTTGATTTAAAATTTCTGTACAGCAGGTGTCAGACCCCTGACGTACAGCTTGTTCAGAGAGGAATGGGAGTCTGATCACAGGAAGCAGAGGGTGGTTCTTTGGCTCTGTTGGAAGGGGTGGATCATGAAAGTGCTGTCTAAAAAGGAGAGGCATCTCTGTTCCAATCATGTGTTACCCTCTACACCTGCAGGGCACTGTGCTGGCCAGGAATAACTTCATGTGGTAAAAGCACATGGTGGGTTAGATTTATTTGCTTATGGGCTGCAGAAAGTGGCGCAAATCCAGCTTACAGGAAGAGAATAAAGACAAAAGAAGCAAAGGGAAAATGGATCTGCAGCTTAACTTTTTTGTCTCACAGTTAGTCAGGTTAAAAAAAAAAAACACACAGCAAGAACCATTATCCCCCAATGAATAAAACCTGTAACAATGACTAATCTTCCCAGGAATGGACAGCATATTAAAATTGTTCCACTAACTAATCACCAACTCATCCAGGAAGTCACAAAAAAGAAAAAGGCCTTTCTTACATATGTCAAGAAAGATCTGGATTATCTTGAAGGCTTTTAGAAAACTATTCTTCTGCCCTAAGAGGTAAAAGTGGACCCTTTTGGATCGCATGGATCCTGTTATATTTGGCTTAACAATCTGATTAGCTATGGTTAAAAATCTTCCAGTGTGGATGAATGGAAGCGGGTCTCCAAAGATGGAGAACAGCAGAAAAAAGAGCAACATTGTCAGTTATTGCAAATGCTTTATAGCAGTTGTTGCAACCAAGGGTGATGAACCCAGTTCCTAAATGTGAAGGGAACTACTTTTACACATAATGGCATTTTTTTTTTTTTTTTTTTTTTTTTTTTTTTTTACTTGCAGTGCTGCATTTTGCTCCACTGTTATGCAATCCTTGTCACTCTTTTTGATAATTAAAGCCTTATGCTGCTAAGTTTCATTTATATGGTCATATGGTCTTAAAAAAAAAGAATTTGATGCATTGACTTACGGTAATCAGATATATATATGTATATGTATATATAGATAATACAATGATCAATATATAGAATAAAGGTATGCCAAGTCTTGAAGGGAATGGTAGCGCTATTGCTCTATGCTCCATATAGTCAAACATATCAGGTCGCTTTGGCTCTTTTGCTAACATCTCATTAAAAGGACTTAAAAACTGTGGACAAGGTGGAGATGGACATTTAGATACTGTGATCTTTTATGCCAATAATGAGATTAAGCCTAATTAACAGTAACAAATATGTAGTAAAATAACAAGGGAAAACCAAGGGAGTTTATTTTAATTGTCCAGTTCAGTACTTGGATTGGTAATAAAAGCCTGACCTCTAAACGGTTGATATCTGTGGCCTAAAGCTACGGCACTTAAGTCCAGGCTACATTGACACATGTTGATCAATACAATGATTCCCTATTGTTTGCCTCTAGGTAATGGGACAAGGACAGAGGCCCCATTAGATGCTGCTAAAGGTGATCTATGAGTGGAAAGATGTTTATTGAAAGCCAAGCCTTGAGTTTCAAACAGCTCATGGTTAAGAGCAGATAGCCTTCCTCCAGCTACTGATTCTTTGTAAAGAAATACTGCCAAGCAGCTGAGCTTTGAGTTCCAGGCTTTCATTTCATCCTGCCTGCAGGAACAACAAGTCATGCCAGGACATGTTGGATTGGTTTGGGGTGTGAAGTTTTGTGAACTGTTCTGATAATAAACAGCATACCAACAATCCATTCAATTCATGTCATATCTGAGTGGTGCGGTGCGCCAAACAATATAAAAAGTGAAAAAAAGGCAGCCGGCTTGCTGCTACTCGTCAAATGATTCAGCCCCCCCCTGTGTTCCATTTAAAAAAACAAAACAAAAAAACAATTTCCAGCAGACCTATCTGTGTTTCTGTTGCCTTTCCTCATCAGCTCTGTGTTGCTTCTCTGCAGGGTGGCAACAACGCCGGACACACGGTGGTGGTGGACTCTGTGGAGTACGACTTTCACCTCCTACCCAGCGGCATCATCAACCCCAAAGTCACCGCCTTCATTGGTGTGTAAAATCAGCATGCTCACATTTGCATTCAGTCTACGCGCACTAACGAGGGCGACCTTCACTATTTCCTTTTATAGAGAACTGATGATGGTATAACTTTGAGACTTTCTGAATCCATTTTAATGACTGCTGCAGAGGCTGTGACTAGTTTGACTTGGTGCCAGACTGCAGGCTGCATTACATCCCCTCATCTGCACTAACTTCATTAGCTAATGGAGTTTTGTTAAGGCTCCCAAACACACCACACATCTGCGCTTCAAGGTGCTGCTTTATCGCATATCCTCCTTTTCTTCTCTTTGATGCACGACACATTAGCACTACTCAGTCTGAGTGGACTTTCTTGTAGTGAGAAGTTGTTTCTACATATTTCACTTTTACTTTCCTGTTGACAAGTAATATAGCTAAGTTGTCACCCGGTAAACTGTCAATCAACATCTGCCTGTTGAAGTTTTGTTTTTGCTCAAAGTTTTTGATCTTTTCTGGATTTATATTTACATTTTCTCCTTTTAAATCCCTCTATTAACCCAGCTTTACTCTAAGATCCTATGGCAGATTGTATGAGTTGCAGTGTTAGTTTACAGTAGAAGGAAGGAGAATTGGTCCAATGGCGTGCAGACGATGGCGTATTCTGAGAAGCTGTGATTACGTCAGCAACATTTGATCTAGCTCTTTTTCCAAGTGTCAGATGCTGCACTGCAAACATAGAGCCCTGTTGAGTGGCTGCCCTAAACGTGTGCATGAGGCACACGTTTAGGGCAGGATTGTCACCTTCCCTTTTGCCTTTTAACAATGTATTTCTTTTATTCAGGATGCTATATTTTATTTTTCTTTTCTGCCTGCAGGCTTTCCCCACCAAATCCATTATCGTCCCTAAAACTAATGTGAGCAAGTCTCATTCAGCAACCTCAAGACTTGTTCAAGCTCCGCTTTCTTTATTACCATCTCAAGCATAAGCCAACTTCTTCTTCTTTGCATTTAATATCAGCTGAAGTTTGGATAGGGCTATCTAGTCATGGGTGAATATAGAACAGGACCTAACATAAAGGATTATTAAGTTAGAATATAAAAAAAAAATTAAACAACCTCAAACTGACATTATAACTAGCATTTGTTAATGTGTTTCAGGAGGGTTTGGCTGTTAAGCATTTGTTTAGGCCTGTAACATTCAATCAAATCGTTATCAATCAATTTCTTTATTGTCAACTACAATTTGCAATGTAATCGAGATTTCAGTTTCAGTACAAACTGTTCATCACATACATTACATACAATTTACTGAGGCCATTTTTGCCACAGAACGCTATCGACGGCGCGTTTTCATGGCTGCCAGGGGCCTCACCGTGAGGCGGTTCCCTTGTAGCGCTGCATTTATCATTGACAGTGATGCAGAGATGTGGTCGTTATTTTCTGGAGTAGAAGGATACAGAACAATGTACAGGTGCTGGTCATAAAATTAGAATATCATGAAAAAGTAGATTGATTTCAGTAATTCCATTTAAAAAGTGAAACTTGTATATTATATTCATACATTACATACAAACTCATATATTTCAGATGTTTATTTTGTTTAATTTTGATGATTACAAATGACAACAAATGAAAATCTCAAATTCATCATATCAGAAAATTAGAATATTACTGAAGACCAATAAAAACAAAGGATTTATAGAAATGTTGGCCAACTGAAAAGTATGAACATGAAAAGTATGAGCATGTACAGCACTCAGTATTTAGTTGGGCCTCCTTTGGCCTGTATTACTGCAGCAATGCGGCGTGGCATGGAGTCGATCAGTCTGTGGCACTGCTCAGGTGTTATGATAGCCCAGGTTGCTCTAATAGTGGCTTTTAGCTCTTCTGAATTGTTGGGTCTGGTGTATTGCATCTTCTTCTTCACAATACCCCATAGATTTTCTATGGGGTTAAGGTCAGGAGAGTTTGCTGGCCAATTAAGAACAGGGATACCATGGTCCTTCAACCAGGTACTGGTAGCTTTGGCACTGTGTGCAGGTGCCAAGTCCTGTTGGAAAATGAAATCTGCATCTCCAAAAAGTTGGTCAGCTGCAGGAAGCATGAAGTGCTCTAAAACTTCCTGGTATGTGGCTGCGTTGACCCTGGACCTCAGAAAACACAATGGACCAACACCAGCAGATGACATGGCACCCCAAACCATCACTGACTGTGGAAACTTTACACTGGACTTCAAGCAACGTGGATGAAGTGCCTCTCTTCTTTTCCTCCAGACTCTGGGACCTTGATTTCCAAAGGAAATGCAAAATTTACTTTCATCAGAGAACATGACTTTGGACCACTCACCAGCAGTCCAGTCCTGTTTCTCTTTAGCCCAGGCAAGACGCTTCTGACGCTGTCTGTGGTTCAAGAGTGGCTTGACACAAGGAATGCGACAGCAGAAACCCATGTCTTTCATACGTCTGTGTGTGGTGGTTCTTGAAGCACTCACTCCAGCTGCAGTCCACTCTTTGTGAATCTCCCCCACATTTTTGAATGGGTTTTGTTTCACAATCCTCTCCAGGGTGCGGTTATCTCTCTTGCTTGTACACTTTTTTCGACCACATCTTTTCCTTCCCTTCGCCTCTCTATTAATGTGCTTGGACACTGAGCTCTGTGAACAGCCAGCCTCTTTAGCGATGACCTTTTGTGTCTTGCCCTCCTTGTGCAAGGTGTCGATGGTCGTCTTTTGGACAACTGTCAAGTCAGCAGTCTTCCCCATGATTGTGTAGCCTATAGAACTAGACTGAAAGACCATTTAAAGGCTTTTGCAGGTGGTTTGAGTTAATTAGCTGATTAGAGTGTGGCACCAGGGGCCATCAATTTTGAACCTTTTCACAATATTCTAATTTTCTGATATGATGAATTTGAGATTTTCATTTGTTGTCATTTGTAATCATCAAAATTAAACAAAATAAACATCTGAAATATATGAGTTTGTATGTAATGTATGAATATAATAAACAAGTTTCACTTTTTAAATGGAATTACTGAAATCAATCTACTTTTTCATGATATTCTAATTTTATGACCAGCACCTGTATACTATTGGTCTATGCATCAGTCGTCAGCCATAGCAAGACTACTAATGTCGTACATCAATATTGCATCATATCAGTGCATCGCTGACAATAGAAATATGAATCTGGGTCATTTAGAAGTGATTTTACAGAATCTTAAAACAGCTGCTGGTCTGTTTGCAACAAACCATTAAGCATAATATCTGGATTGGGAGTGGGCAGCAGATCTGGTCCTGTTTAACTTATTTCCTTCTTCAAACTGAACCAAACAGAAACCGTACCGATGCCAGGTCTGATCTTTGCCCCAAGGCTGCAACATCATCACACGTAGTGTTGCTCATACTTTTCCAAGAACACTACATCTGTTACATCTTAGATAATCTGCACTCTGTTTTTAATCGCCACAGATTTTTCCTGCAGCAACAAATTATTCAATAGTTCGAAGAAAAAGAAGCGCTTAAACACTGTTGGTTAGGAGACTGACCCAATCATGCCAGTCTTTGCTGCCGTTCTCTAACAGAGCTTAGTGATCTACATTTTCCAACTTCAATAACCTTCCTGCCCACTCTGAGCGTTGGCTAAACAAACTTGGCTTCTCATTCCTACAGTTGTTTTGAATTTTTTGATCACTGCTGGATGTAGGTGTGGGCAAGTTGAGGGTTACCTGCAGATTTGTTGACATTTCCTGAATTTTGTAAACAAATACATCTGTCTTGTCTAAATGCCATGTTCTCCTGACTTTCCTGTATTGAAGAGAAGAGAAATCATCATCCTAGTTGCATCATATTCATACCACAGGAATAAAAGAATCTATCTTCTTATGAAACTAGTCATGATGAATTAGAAGAAATGCCTCATTTCCATGTATTTTATATAGATTTTTTCTTGAGGCTGGTGATGATGATCTTTTACTGAAAATAAATCTTCCCCCTAAACTTTGCTGTTACTGCTGCTGTAATGACACTGAAATAGCACAGTTATTACCTATAAGCCATTGATGATGGTCATTTTTATTTATATATGTATGGGCACATAATTTGCCCTAAAAAATGATTTTAAATGTGAAAATAAAGCCTGGGTTTTGAAAAGTATGAAGCGTAGCGACCCAGATAAAAGGGTTTAGGACCCAGTTACTTCACTGGTTTGGACAAGGGCTGTGGTAAATTGTCAGCACTGGTTCTGTTTTACTGTATAAAACACTTTGTTTAAGAGACCAAAAAATTTATACGTTTTTGTTTTTTCACTTGACTTATTGTTTTTTTTATTTTTATTTTAGGAAACGGAGTTGTGATCCATCTTCCAGGCCTGTTTGAAGAGGCTGAAAAAAACCAACGTAAAGGAAACGGTGAGTAAAAAAAAACAACTATTTTTTATGTTTTTTGTAGAAAAGAGGTTCAACAGTGGGACAGTAATGAAATTAAACATACTTCTCTGTATGTTTAGGCCTGAATGACTGGGAGAAAAGGCTGATCATCTCAGACAGAGCTCATATAGGTAAGTCTTGTCAGCGCTGCCCCCTCCTTTGTTTGATGAAAGTTGTGTGTGAACAGTGGAATGTGTGCATATTTGTGGATGTTTGAGTCCTGCCTTCTCTGAGGTGTGTGAGAGTGTGTGTCCCCTCTCTCCCTCCTCCGCAGTGTTTGACTTCCACCAAGCGGTCGATGGCGTTCAGGAACAGCAGAGGCAAGAGCAAGCAGGCAAGAAGTAAGAAACCTGTTGCTTAGAAAGATGGTTAACACACACTAGTTTCCATAAGCATATCCAATCCCATGGAGCCTGTAAACAGACATGGAAGGCAAATTCCTATAAACTTTTACTTTTGTTTGACTGGGACATTTTAAATCCTGTATACGGCTTTGGGTTTGTCTGAGACTCCCCACAATTATTAGTGTAGTATTCACACAATGTGCAACTAAACGCACAAAGCTTGTGTGGTTTTATTTAATACAATCATTTTTGCTGCTTGCTGTGAAGAATAGCCCCCTGTTTTGCTGTCTTTCCTGATCATAAACCTTCAGTTAGTCGGGCTGTTATCTCAGGTAGCTAGCCTGCACTCTGCTGCTTAACACAGAAGTTAAAGGTAGATTTTGTTGATGCAGTTTCTGCAGTTTTGTTCTTCATGACCAGAAATATTTTCCAACAGCTGAGTTTGATAAAAAGCAAGAGGAAAGTTTAGGTATTTTCCTTCGGCGAGATGAGCGACAGTGCAGACCAACAGTTTGAGAATCAGACCCTGGTATTCACAGCCTCCTCCTCCTCTCAATCATTTCTCCAACATGCATTCCTATCTGTAGTGACAGAATCCACAAATATACGTCCTTCTACATGATATTGTTTATTGCTCAATGCACAGGCTGCAGTCTGAAAGAGCTTTCCTTTGCACATGCAAAGCTGTGCAAATGAAACATCTCATAGTTTCAGACAGTGAGGTGTTAGATTAGCGTTGAGAGGCTGCAGCTATATAGATATATTTTCTCTGCTCCATAAAGTCATAAAATGTTCCAGACTCTTTTTGCTCTTATTTAAAGGACTTTGAACAGTAGAAATAGTGTAAAGATTTTCTTTCACAATTTTAACTGTAATTGTTAAAACCCCGGTTAGTCTTGAAACCAGTAACCTGTTGGTCCCACAGCATGACATAGAGAAATGAACATTGATCCTTTTTAAACCGTTATTTATGGTGAATTTCTCTTTATTTAAAATTAATTATAGATTAATGTGACTATGTACCTTTAAGTTGAATGCAAAACATTAATACTGCCCACTCCTGTGTAGAAAAATACAGCATTGGATTAGTAAAAGTACAGGTAGACAAATATTCATCTGAGGTATTGCAGTGGCTGTTAACAAAAAAAAAAGGTTTTGAGCTGCATGAAAACTTCTCCTGAAATGTAACATCTTCTTTTGGAAACAAAGCTAAATGCAGTTAGGATAAAGAACATTAACAGTTTATGTTTAGCCATCCATGGGAATAAATCCTTGGTTTATTTTTGCCAGATATAGTTACATCTTTTGTTTTGATTTTTCTAATTAAATTAATTCCAGCCTGTTCTTCGGTTTTTCTGCTGTTTTACAAAGAACTTACTTTAAAAAAAAAAAGGAAGGCTAGAATAGACATAAACGTTATGGGTTACACCTTGTGTGTCAAATAAAATCTCTCCCTGTACCTTTTTCAGCTGTTCTTAAATACTATGTTCGTATGTTTCTACTAGTGAAGTGTTTTTTTCCTTTTTTTCCTTTCTCTTCTCCTAATTTTGGTCATTAAAACTAATCGTTAGACCCTCAAAAAGTTTATCTTACTAAAATAGCTGCTCTAACTTGTTTTGTTTAATTTATCCTACTTTGGTGATTAAAGGATAACTCTAATACAGTTTTTTTTCTTCCCTAAAGTTGATGGGAACCATTCTGAGCCAAAAACAGTTTAATGACTTAAGTTAAAATATGCTCATTAAATTTGCTTGTGTGTCTTAGACGTGTTTTTTTTATTATTTATTTTTTTTTTTATAACAAAAATAGATCTCAGCTTATCAGCAAAGCATAAAATCTTTCATGGAATATGTTTGTAAGGGAGATTACACGCTGTAATGACACAGTCATTACAGGCTTTCAGCTGTCTGATGCGTCAGACTGCTGGATTCCCAGCGGCTACAGGTCACGCTCTGCTTGACTCAGATCCCATAGATTATAGTCATACAGAACCAAGCTAAAAATCTTACAGGAGCTCTACAAAAGCTCAGGATCATTCAGTGTTATCAGACTTACATATTTCTTAGTAAACAATTCAGTCTTAAAGCATAGCAAACTAAGTTAATAGTTACTCATAATGATTTGATGTCTTTTGCACCAAAGATGAAGAAAAGCAGAAGTCCAGCGTATAAAAATAGCTGAAGGCTTTTAAGATTGCTTAAAAAAAACGGTCACAGTTTCCATTTCATAAGTTATGTGTCTGGTAACGCCAACATATGTGTTAAGTGTTGCAAGTTAAACTAAATTATACTGTACTTATTTAACGCGGTGGCTATAAATGCTATTTCCCTATAATCAATCCATTGAGCTTATGAAAAAATGTAAATAGAAGCTATATGAATGTGTTTTTATTAATCATGTAATGCTAAATCTACATTAGCTTTCCACTGTGGCATGCATAGTGAGTGGATGTTTCACCATGAGTGGGGCTTGATGTGAAACTCTATATTCACAGAGGATCTTTGTCTATTTCTGTTCGGTAGTTTGCATGTTGGCTCAGCAAACATTGCTTCCTTTTAATAGAAGGACTTATCAGATGTTTATGTTGAGATGGCTTTTGTGCCTTTAGTTTCATTCATTTTTTAACATTAGTTCTCTAAAACCTTTGTATGTGTGCAAGATGGATTGTAATGCAGTAGTTAGAGCTACATTTTGAATTGGTCAAATTTGAGCCGGTTAAACATGGTTGGTTGTGTCTGCTGTTGAATCTGCACCAAAAATGACTAAAACCTGCAGCCCAGAACATTTCTCAAATTAAGGAGTTTGTACACATGTGATGGAATGATTAACAGTGCTGCTATGAAACGTCAATATGTGAATTCCCGTTAAGGCTTTTGTTAACCATCTTCTTCCTCTCTTGTTCTTGGCCCCGCTCAGCCTCGGGACGACAAAGAAGGGGATCGGTCCGGTATACTCTGCCAAGGCTGCACGCAGCGGGCTCAGAATATGTGATTTACTGGCCGACTTCACTCAGTTCTCTGAGAGGTTTGTTCCAGCATTATTGGATTTTTACACTTTGGCATTATGGCTTTTGCTTCTCTTTGTGAAAGAAAAGTTTTGATGCTCTCAATTCTAGTCTTTATTTTGTTTCATTTTCATAAAGAAAAAAAATCCTTTATATACAAGGTTAGGAACTCATGTCCTGTATCTTCATTTAAAAAAATAAAAAAACACTTAGTAGTATTTTACAGTACACTGCAAGTTCTTTCTGAAGGGATGAAATATAAAACCATTTAATTGATACATATAAGTCTTTATCTGGTATCGAAATAGCTTTTTACATTTATCCGCCAACCCCATGAATTTAATACATAAAAAAATCTGTTTTGAAACCTTTAATTACACCTCTAAGTTTAAGTCACGGACGTTTCAGGGCTTCATAAATGAATGTATACACAGGTCGCACAAAAATACTAATGGGAACACCTAGCTAATTTATAGCTAGGTATTAAAACTTGTGTACAGTTGAGAGTACCTTCTGCCAGTAACATATACACTATATTGCCAAAAGTATTTGCTCACCCATCCAAATTATTGGAATCAGGTGTTCCAATCACTTCCATGGCCACAGGTGTATAAATTCAAGCACCTAGGCATGCAGACTGTTTTTACAAACATTTGTGAAAGAATGGGTCGCTCTCAGGAGCTCAGTGAATTCCAGCGTGGAACTGTGATAGGATGCCACCTGTGCAACAAATCCAGTCGTGAAATTTCCTCGCTCCTAAATATTCCACAGTCAACTGTCAGCTGTATTATAAGAAAATGGAAGTGTTTGGGAACGACAGCAACTCAGCCACGAAGTGGTAGGCCACGTAAACTGACGGAGCAGGGTCAGCGGATGCTGACGCGCATAGTGCGAAGAGGTCGCCAACTTTCTGCAGAGTCAATCACTACAGACCTCCAAACTTCATGTGGCCTTCAGATTAGCTCAAGAACAGTGCGCAGAGAGCTTCATGGAATGGGTTTCCATGGTCGAGCAGCTGCATCCAAGCCATACATCACCAAGTGCAATGCAAAGCGTCGGATGCGGTGGTGTAAAGCACGCCGCCACTGGACTCTAGAGCAGTGGAGACGCGTTCTCTGGAGTGACGAATCGCGCTTCTCCATCTGGCAATCTGATGGACGGGTCTGGGTTTGGCGGTTGCCAGGAGAACGGTACTTGTCTGACTGCATTGTGCCAAGTGTAAAGTTTGTTGGAGGGGGGATTATGGTGTGGGGTTGTTTTTCAGGAGCTGGGCTTGGCCCCTTAGTTCCAGTGAAAGGAACTCTGAATGCTTCAGCATACCAAGACATTTTGGACAATTCCATGCTCCCAACTTTGTGGGAACAGTTTGGAGCTGGCCCCTTCCTCTTCCAACATGACTGTGCACCAGTGCACAAAGCAAGGTCCATAAAGACATGGATGACAGAGTCTGGTGTGGATGAACTTGACTGGCCTGCACAGAGTCCTGACCTCAACCCGATAGAACACCTTTGGGATGAATTAGAGCGGAGACTGAGAGCCAGGCCTTCTCGTCCAACATCAGTGTGCGACCTCACAAATGCGCTTCTGGAAGAATGGTCAAAAATTCCCATAAACACACTCCTAAACCTTGTGGACAGCCTTCCCAGAAGAGTTGAAGCTGTTCTAGCTGCAAAGGGTGGACCGACGTCATATTGAACCCTATGGATTAGGAACGGGATGTCACTTAAGCTCATATGTGAGTCAAGGCAGGTGAGCAAATACTTTTGGCAATATAGTGTATCTACTCTATATTGGAAGTCCTAACCCTCGCTTTCATGCAGTACATGAACCCCCATTTAATTGATCTACGGTACTTTCATCCACTTGACTCCCAAGTTTGACTTGTTTGAGGTCGTGGCTTTTAGCGCTCATTGAAAATCAATGGGGATGATCACACCCGACAAGATTTTACTCAAGGCGGCTTGTGTAGCTCCGACTGAGATAAACCACAGGACTATTTTAGTTGGACTACGCAGCAATTCAGCTGCAATTTCATGGGTATTGCAGGAATAGAGACGCGGTTATAAAGTAAAGCATATCCGCTGTGGGGGAAAATAGAAAATAAAATCTGTTAATCGTACGGGAAAAGAGTCCGTTTTGTAGTCGCGCAGAGCTTACACATCCAGTGGGACATATGCTTGTGCAAAAACAATCAATGAAACATTAAAAAATATAATAATTTACCCATAATAGAATTTTAGGAGGACAGAAAATGGATAAAGTAGTGATCTTCTGAGCCTTGCAAAAACAACGAGGGACAGAAGGCAAAGGCTTTTCTGGAGTTTTTCTTTTCTTTAGACATAGACCTCATTATCTTTTTAATATAAGCATATGACAATTCTCTATCTGTTCTGCTTCGAGATGTTGCACAGACTTATTAGGTGGGGCATTGCTTTGTAGAATACGGCGGTGTTTTAAAAAAAAATGTTTTTAATTACTTTTCATAATCTGTCCAAGTCAAATGTGGGAATTTGTTTTCATTTGTGTAGAAAATCTCTGCAGATCTGCCCACCCTGCCTAATCTTAGCCTCTCTATATGCAGGCAGTGTGACATTGAAAAAAATCGGATCAGAGAGTAAAAAGTCGTACACAATCGGTGTTCAGGCCTAGTTTATGACTCAGGACGCTGCACCTGCGCTTTCTTCTGAATGTAGATAGTCACTTATGTCTGTGAAGTATTACCTGATATTAAACATTAGAAAGAGTTTGGTTTTTGTTGTTTTTTTTATGTTTCTCCGTTCCCTGTCCTGACAGCTCTATTAGGGGGGAAAAGGGCCATAGTGGATAAACACCCCGTTTAGTTCCTGTCTTTACTCAACCCACCCTGTGGGCATGTCACTCAATTATTAAGACCAATAAAGCGATAGAAGCAGAAGAAGAAGCAAAGATGGTGTTGAAGGGAAGGATAAGTGAGGTGATGCATAAAAGCCCAGAAATGATTGCATATATTCATACACGGTGGTCACCAGGCGCTCACCCTCAAGGAAAATAATGGACTCTTTTCTGCATAGCAAAGCTACTGTTTGTCCTCAGAATCTATCAGCATAAATCTTTCCTTTTTGACTTAATCTGAAGAGCTGTGAAATAATCCCTGATAAATAATACGCCTAGTGCAACGTTAACACCACTGAATAACTTGCAAGTGCAGAACCCATCCCTAATAAAGAATAGCTTAGATTTGATTGAAGAAATGGTTTATTTATTTATTTATTTATTTTATTTTGACTAAAAAGGTGTGACTATGAAGCATTACTAATCTTTGGTGACCACCTGTTGCAGGTACAAAGTGCTGGCCCATCAGTACAAAGCCATGTATCCGACACTGGAGATTAACATAGAGGGAGAGCTGGTTAGATTAAAGGTAAAAAAACAGAAGTAATCCAAAAAATGATAATCATCTGAAACCCACCTGTTTTTATTTTAAGATGATTTGTTTTGTTTTTTTCTAATCTAGGACTATGTGGAGCGGGTTAAGCCCATGGTTAGGGACGGTGTGCACTACATGTACGAAGCTCTTCACGGCCCCCCCAAGAAGATCCTGGTGGAAGGAGCCAACGCAGCACTTCTGGACATAGACTTCGGTCAGTAAGCCTCAGCATGTGCCTCTGAGCAAATGGTTATGAAGGTCGGATGATATTAAATTTTGCATTGCTCTTTACAAAAGCCTTCTTGGAGCTCAGACTAGTGATGATGGTAAGTTTACTTGTTCCTGACCTGCTCCTATGTGCGGGGATTTGGTGCACTCTCACACTCTGTAAAAGCTTCCACCTTACTGCATGAGCAACAAGGTGATCACTTAGCAGGAGTCTTTCAGTTGAGCTAAATTACAGTAATTCTCTGAAATTTGTGCCAGAACGGACCTGCTATCATTTTGAGCACCGACTCACCACTATTATTAAAACACCGAGGTTAACATAAATCATTCCTAAGTTCATTTGTTTTGCTAGAGATCACTGAGAATTTCACTCAGAGCAAATCTCTAATCAGCATTTTTATACGGAGATTGAAACTGGTGAAAGCTGAGGGGTAGAGCTGCTGCAGGGTTATTCTCACTGAGTTTAAAAATGGTACACTGGCAGTTTGTTTTGTTTTTGTTTTGTAATGATTCAAGGGAAAATAATTCTCAGATGATAACTGAAAAAGCAGAACAAGTTTGAATTACTTATTGTAACGGTGTTCCCTTATTTCCTTGGTCTTTTCAGGTACCTATCCTTTTGTGACGTCGTCCAACTGCACGGTAGGAGGGGTGTGCACCGGCCTGGGCATGCCTCCCCAGAATGTGGGTGAAGTTTACGGGGTGGTTAAAGCGTACACCACCAGAGTAGGCATCGGTGCTTTCCCTTCAGAACAGAGCAATGTAAGAAGATACACAGCATGTCGAATTGCTTTGTTTTTGTTTACAGGTGAAGTCCTCAGTGCACAAGCAAGCAAAACTCAAGAGACCTGAGTCACATTACTGTTCTGTTCTAAATAATACCAATCCAAATTTAGTAAAATCATGTGAACATACCTTCAATATAATGTGTATAATTAACAGGCGGGTGTTGTAAAGCAATAGAAAACCTACAGACCTGGCAGTCATGGACATGCTGCTGGTCTTGTGTAACCAAATCATTGATCCTTTCATAAAAGCATCAGTGCTGGCTGGGCACAACCTCGTCTTTGTTAAAGCAAATGTTTTACTGGAGCACCTGTTAAACAGCAGCTCAACAACTGCTGGTGTGCAGCTAAATCTTGAGTGATCAGAGGAAACCTTAACTGTAAGCTCTTGTTTTTATTTGTACAGAAAATGTCTACATTTGTGCAGAAACAAATTTTATCTTTTTTGAACGGCCATACATTATTTTTCTGCTACTTTCTGAGAAATAAAAAGTGCAGTTTTAAGAGATATATTGTTTAATAATATTAGCATTCCACTGACAAACTGCAGGGAGGTTGTTATGTTTGATGTGAAACACTGCCACCTAGAGGACATCTAGCCACCTTCATTTGCTGTGTGTTTTTACTACAGTCATCAGCTTCTAAATCCTGATTAGATGCTTTAAATTCTGAAAGACCTTCAGCTTTTGCCACTATAGGAAGATTAGAAAAGATGTCTTATATGTAAAGTTTCCTTTGTTAATCAGGAGATCGGAGAGCTGCTTCAGACTCGAGGGAAAGAGATTGGCGTGACCACAGGCAGGAAGCGGCGTTGTGGCTGGCTGGATCTGGTGCTCATCAAATACGCTCATATGATAAATGGCTTCACTGCGTATGTCTTTTTTGTGTTTTTATTTTTTCTCTGTAGATTTAATGTAAATTTAGGATACAAGATTTTCATGAATAACTCATAATTTTTGCTTTAAATTTGATAAAATATCTAAATGATGAATACCTAGTTTTTAGATTTGTTTTAAAACATTTGTCCTGTGTCTCTGTCCTGCTTTTCTTTCAGTTTAGCACTCACAAAACTGGACATACTTGACGTATTTACAGAGATCAAAGTGGGGATGGCGTACAAAGTTGGTGATGAAATCATACCTCACTTTCCAGGTAAGTGAGTATGTGAGAAAATAAATCACAGCCAGGAAAATAAGTCCTTAACACATCAATGTTTTTCTCTGGACATTTATTACCGTAAAAACATTGATGCTATAACAAATAACAATCTTGTAGGTTCTCTGGATTTCTTCTTTGCACTTTGATTATTCTAAAAAAATGAAAACACTCTTATTTCCCGTTTATAAGAGTACATTTCTCCACCTAGCTTGCCTCACTGTATATGGGTATACAGTTTGTTTGTATCCCATACTAAAACACATCCCCACATAATGATGCTCCTGCCTCCAAACTTTACTGCTGATGTTTTCTTTCTTTAGAGTAAAAAAAAACAGTGAAAAAGTTCCTTCTTGTTCTCATTTGTAGACTTTTCTACATTTACTGTATTTTCCGGACTATAGAGCTCATCTCACTATAAACAGTGGCCTCTAAAATTTTTGAAAAAACTAGAAACATACACATATAAGCCTCATCGGGCTATAAGCTGCTGATATCAACTGAACTGTCTCTCACCCAAACCTGCATGGGGAGTTCTACATATAGAATGCTAGCTCCCGTTAGATTGCAGTAGCAGTAAGAGCTTCTACTGAAAGATGGGGCTTCATCAGCTCTTTATTTCAGCTCTGCAGGAGTTGAGCCCAGTCTCTTCATTAGTTTTGCAGCTTTGATGCGGCAAATAAACGTCAAAATATTTGAATTCTGGACATTTGTTCTCTATCATGTCTGCTGCTAGTGTGTTTTTGTGCTAAATCAAAATTAGCCCCTTTATCTTTCAGTTCCAACTTTGACTTCCACCTTTGGTGGTTAGGAAACATCCACAGAAAAGCTGCACCTTCTTATAAGCCACATGATTCAAAGCGTGGGAAATAATTGGGGGCTTATAGTCCGGGAAATACGGTAATTCATTAAACGTTTATTACCCTTCAACCATCCTTCCGCAGTGGAATCTTGTGCATCAATGCTATAATTATTTTTCTTTCTGAGGCTTTTTGTGGAGGCGGTCCTTAGCCCTCTACCACCGTTCTGGTTTGTCTCTTTGCTAGGAGCTCCTGGTCAGGGCCAGCTTATGGTTAAAGGTGTTTTTTTTCCTTTTTTAATATGGTTTTGACAGCACTCACTGGCACATTCAGACATTTACAGAAAAACTTTTCACCAGTGCTAAAAATCTTGCTGCTTTAACCTTTATCACACACTTCCTCAAACAATCATGACAGTTGGGAAAGTCTCGGGAGTCCACGATCCAGCTGTTTTAGATTTAGTGTCAGCAGGACTTAAAGAAATAGAAGCATTTAAGTTATTGATATGTTTAACACTTGTTCTTCCTGCTATTCCAACATTATTTATTTTATATTTCAGTTTGGCTCTCAGGTTTATGCTGAGGAGATCAGATATATTTCTGGCATCAGTTACAAATCCTATTTCCTCCTCTTCCAGTTGGCGTCAATCTTTAGAGACAGCATTGAGTTTAAACAGACTTGTTGAACCAATGAGAGGCGAATGTTTTGATTATTTTCCTCTGCTCTGACTGATTCTTATGCCAGCCAATCAGGAGGTGCTGCAGCGCGTTGAGGTTCAGTACGAGACTCTGCCGGGCTGGAACAGCGACACGTCTGCAGCCAGAAGCTTTGGGGAGCTGCCGGAGAACGCCCAGAAGTATGTGCACTTCATCGAGGAGCACGTAGGAGTACCTGGTATGCTTACACACACCAACACAGGACTGAAATTATGCTTGAAGCTATCATTTTAATAAACTCGCCCTGATGAAACGTTTTTTTTATTTTTTTTTAGAACTTTAAGATTTTAATTTATCCTGAGCCTCTAATGGTTTTGCGTCTTCGTTTTGAACCTGTAAAGATAAAAATGAATCTGACAATCCTGCCACTAAGAAATATGTTAACAAACAAATAACAAATATGTTTAATGGTTGATTGTCAGATTGTACTGTTAGATTTTTTTTTTTTGTTTTTGCCATAAATGATCAAGCGCTTTATTTCTGCAAACTACTTCAACAATGACCTGGTTACTTAGTTTATCTGCTTTTCCCACCACTTGATCACCTTCTTTCTCTACACCTACCAGTGTCAGAAGCCTTAAAATTGATCCTAATTGGAAAATTTATTTGAAATACAATATTTTGATTTGATTTATTCAGTAAAAAAGACTTTAAACAATTCCTTTCAGACTCACTCCAGTGATCTATGATGCTTGTTGTCACTAACATCTAGACCAGCATATGGGGAAAAACATTAGGAAACATTAACTTTTACAAATGAACCAACATGACTCATAGCTAGACTTCTTTATTAATGTGAAACATCACAGAGCTGTGGTTGTAATGTTATGGTTCTCAGTCCAACATGAGATGGTTAAAGAGCTCATCTCCTCTCCTGTTTCTCCTCAGTCAAATGGATCGGTGTGGGAAAGTCTCGGGAGTCCATGATCCAGCTGTTTTAGATGAGCGGGGACGGCGCACAGCAGCGAACCAACCGTAACTTTCCTCCTCCATCTCCCCCATTGCACACATCCTCTACCTGCGTGTCTCAAAGACTCGACCACTTCTGTTTTTATTGTTTTTGTCTCCGCTCCATCTGTCCGGACCGCGTCGCACCACTGGCTCTGCAGACTGGACTTCCATCAGACTGAGCACTGTGTGTGAAAGATTTCTAACCATTTTAACAGTTTTAAAATAAATGTTATAACACTGTATGTCCTCCATTCGGATGTTGTGGGGTCGTAGTGGTTTGTTTTAAAAAGTAACGCTGTCTTTGCGGGGTCCGCGACATCGGGGGACACTCTGATGCAGAAATGAGCTGTTCTAATCGGTTCTAGTGTTTTATTCTCTCTTTGTTTGATGCTGTGATCAGTGTCGATCACTTTTAACCTGAGCACTTTAGATGCTTCGGACTGTCAGCTTTATATATATATATTGTTTCCTTTTTGTTTTTGTCTGATTTGCACAATATGAGGACGTGATAAAGGGATCTTTTAAGCTTAAAAAAAGAAAAAATCAGTCTCTTGTAATATTTCTGGTCTCACAGAGGTCTGCAGACCTATTGCCCTGTCAGTCAACAAATAAGACCTATTCATTGATGTATGGAAGTTGGGAAAGGCTTCCGATGTCTGCTGATGTTAAGAAAACCCAAACATCTGTCAATAGTGTGGGAATTTGCAATGAAAGGGTACAGAAAATCTCAAATAGATAACCTTCTTTGCAGCTGAAGATGAGTTTATGTAGCTGGGAGGTGGTGGTGGTGTTGGGGGGGTTACTGCTCATATTGTGATTCAACCTTTAATGATTTCTTTGCACTTTCACTGCAACACTCTGTTAATGTGTGAGAAACGTACTGCTAACTTATGAACTGATAAAGAGAATATTTCAGATATATCGTTATTGTCTTTGTTGCGTCAGTGTCTTAATGTCTTAACCTGCTTATTTATGGCTCAGTATAAAAACTAAAAACTGGCCGATGTTTGAAAAAGTCATTAAAATGTCCCTGATTTCTATAATGAATTTATTTGAAATTTTAATTTACCATAAACCAAAATATTGTCCACATTTTTGCTGAGACACTGAAAAGGATATACATAATTAACTTCATGTACGTTTTCCCCAAAATAAGGGGGAATGAAATAAATGTAAAAGAAAGCATGGCTGAAATTAATTCCTTTTTTTTTTTGTTCTCAGAAGATATTTCTTCATTAATCCATAACCTCTATATTTTTCAAGGATGCAGAATAGATTTTCCTTTCTTCTTTTCCGCTCTCCAGGATCAGAAAGACAAAAAAAGAACCTGAGTTGTAATACCGGTAGTTTTGTGCTGCTCTTCATCTCCTTTAAAACATTGAAAAAATGTTAACTCTTCAGGGAAATCCCTGCTGTTATTGTTAGTAGTTGTTAGTAAAAATGTGCTTTTGATATTAACAACATCTAATCCTATTAGAAATAACAGTAGAAAAAATGTCTAAAAATAGTGCATATTTTGTTCTATGATGTGTTTGAATAAAACCAGGATATATGGTTACATTTTCTTGTTTAAAACCTGTAGATGTAAAACAGATTGGGCAATATTTCTGTAAAGTCTCCTTCAAACTGTTGGGTCGATCTTACCTATTTGGAAAAAATATAAAATCACTTTTAAACTTGCTGAACCCTTTTTATTGATACTTCCGCTTTTCTGAATCTGAAAGCAGAAATGATTGGCAGCATCAAGGTGGATCCCCTGACCTTGAATCCAGAGGGATCTTTGTGGCTTTTTCTTTCAGTTTAGTTGTGATCACAGATATAACTGATTTAGTCTGGATTGGAAAGCTTGGATTCTACTTTTTCTTAGAGCACAACTTCTACTTTTTAAAGGAGACTAATGTGTCTCTGGAGGTTTTTTGCTTTCCACTGCGAGAATATAGTGGACCATCAGAACAAAGTGGAGCGGCTGGGGATGTGAAAACATTGGTATTCTTACTATGTTGCCCAAAGCATCAGTGTACATACACCACCAAATCAATGCGTTCAGACGATCTAATCTATTTTATACATGTTAAATGTTTGGAGTGGAGAAAGTTGACTGACCTGTGTGGAGTCCCAACCTGAACCCGATTAAACACCTTTGGGATGAATCCAAGCAGAGGCGGCATTTTCCACTGCAAAATATTGTAATCTAAGTAAGACAATTCTTCTTAATATAAGTGAATTTGTTTTCTGAATTAAGCAGGTAAGTGAGACACTTTGCTGATAGAATGATACTATTTACATTTAGAAGTAGAAAGGATTGCTTTATTTTATTCCAAGTACATAATATCTTATGGTCAAGTAAGAAAAACTTTTTCTATTGGTGGATCAACTTATTTACCTACTGAAATTAAGGGTAAATGCACTCTTTTTAAGCAAGTTTTACATATTTTTAGATAGTTTTTGCAGTGTGGATTCAAATACTACTTAATTTTTCATAAAATAATTGTGTTTTCCCTCGATTTGAGCAGGTAAGACTCCTCTATTGAAGATGCTTACAGAGCAGTTAAAGCTGATATTGCTGGGAATAAGGACACCATCAAAATTAAAAAAGCCTGGGAATTGAATGTCAAAGTGCATGTAAATGTAAAAATAGGAAATTGCTTTTTGCAGTATAGTGTATTAGGAGGAGAGCTTAATTCAAATTAGTTTTATCATTCAAATAAACTTTTTGTAGCCAAAAGGTAATGGAAGTGGTTATATGCTGACAAAGTCTCAGAAACCTTGTAAATACTTTTTTATTATAATATATGCACAGTAATCCTATTTACTGGGTTAATTTTGCCTACAGGTGTGTAAACATTGGTTCCCACAATGCAACTCGAGCACCTGCTGCAGGGCTTATAAACTGCCAGTAGAGGGAGCCATCGTACTGGGCAATTTTAAAGAAACACTTTTTAAAATTGTTAATATTTCTGTCTTTAATACTGGCTAAAAAGAGCCAAATCCATATAGATATGCCTATATATAGACAGATCTATATATAGATTTGCCTATATATACTTTTCAAAGTCAAACAAAAGCTGAAATCAGTGACTCTGTTAATGTTTACTTTTCCTCCCTCGCTCTGATGACCTTAGCTTCACCTGCAGCTCATTTTCCTGTTAGCCAAGCTTCCTCCTGATATTTGACTACATCTGAATGCACCACAACAACCTCTAAACTCCCCACAACCACTCATAGAATCCACCCCGATGCACCGGTCTGAAGCAGCCAAACATCTTGTTACAGCTCATCTCAACCACAGCAGATGCACCAAAATGAGGCTGTGCTGTTAAATAAAAAGGTGTCACCTTGAAGCAATCTGAAACACAGACACAAGAGGCATCTGGCATGAAGCCTGGCCTTCTCCTGCATTGTGAGGCTGCAAGGTACCACAGCGGGGCAGAGGGCACCGCTGTCCCAAGATCTAGGCCTGGGTTACGCTTATTTTCTGTCCTGTCGCCCCTGCTTGCTCTTTACCCTTCAATGTCTATCAACCCTCCCCTTCTTTTATTGTTCTGCTAATTCGGTCCACTCTGCCTCTCTGAATTCAAATCTCCATACCCCACAACCAGCCCCTTCACCCACTCCCCCCTTTGCTCCCCACTTCATCTGAATCCCACAGTGAGGCCTCTTTGTGTGGGAGCTGCCGCAGCATTGTGCTGCAAAGGGAAGCACAGTAAATGGACAAGCAAATGAGTTTTTCTCCGACAGCTGACCGTGGTGCACACAGCATGTTTAAGCATACAGTACAGAGTTGACCCCATTTCTTAATAACTCAGCTCCAGTGCAGTTACCTTTTTGCAGATTTTAAATGGTTTTGATCAGTATCTCCTCAGTCTGTCTCTGTCTTCTTTAGACTTTGGCTACTTTTTATTGTTTTGCTGTTTTTCAGTCCAGTCCCTGATCTTTTCTTTTCGGGAAAAACATATTTGAAACAAATCATCTCAGGCATAAGCAAACATTTAAGCTCAGCGACTTAACAAATAATCCGTTCTAATAGATCAATGGAATCCTCCTCTGAACAGAACTACAACACATGATGAAATTTATCTGATTATCTAAAATCTTGGAATGCAGATCAGTGTTTGTGAAGGTTGGATCCCATGAGACTCACAAATATAGGCAGTAATTGACAGGGGCCATCAGGGGCCCGTCCCTCTGTAGAACTAATGGCCCCTGCACTGCAGACATACAACTAGATCAGAAGGTGATGATGATATGAGCTGGCACATTACCATAATTCATTGGTCCCTTGGAGCAATTTCATTTTTCATTTTACTTTTACAATTCTCCTTTAACAATGACTTAAAAATTAAGGCGTTGCACCTTTATCATTAATTTTGTTGAGATGGGATTGCAGCTTTCATCAGATCAGGGGTTTGCAACCTAAAGAGCCACAAGTCACTCTGGGGCTCAGTTTTTATATTAAACATTGAAATATTGTTTTTTTTTTTTTTTTTTTTTTTTTTCAATTTTTTTTTTTTTTTTTTTTTTTTCTCAACCCCCATTAAAGAAAGATAAAAAACAAAACACTGGGTCCCCTTGAGAATTTAATTGTGCTTGTAAAAGTAGAATTTGTATGTTAAAATTAGGGCTATCAACTATTTTAGTCAATGATTATTCTATCAATCACTGTAATACTTGGAATACTTTATATATTGAATAACCATTATCTATCAAAGAACGTTTTGAACTTAAAAATATGTATTGCACATTTTAAACTATTTATAAAATGAAACTCCATTAAGTGCCCAGAGCAAGGCATTTTTATTTATAACCTCTTCATTTTTGCCAATTAGTATTCTTTTTTTTTAAAGAAGCTTAAAGGATTTTTTTAAGTAAAAAACCAATTTGAACCCAGTGAAGCTGAAAAAATGTCTGGATAGAGCATTTTTATAGAAAATTAAAATTTTTCATTTCAAAATGAGAATCTTTATAGTTTTTAAACAGCTTTGGTTTAATTGCTGCTGTGTTTTTTCTTTCTGTAAATGGTATGTTTTACATATCTGCTATTCTGGTAACAATTCAATTTGATTACCAAATTAGACAATATCTATTCATCAGAAATTAAAACAAATAAACTGTTCTGCCCTAATACATGACACAAATAGCCACACATTGATCATTGATGCTGATTGTGTTATCATTTTACCTATTTAATTAACATACCAGTTAATATTTCCCTTACTAAAACCAGTTCCCAAGACTTCTTTTGGGTCAGATCTGTTGATCCAGATTAAACATTTTTATTTATTTATTTTTCTTTTGTTTGTTTTTGCTTGAGTTATGACAAAATTATTTAAATAGAAATGTCAAAAAACAGCTGGGGGTCGTTTAGGAGAGCTACAATAAATGGAGGAATATCAAGGTCGTTTTCATGCACGAGAGCATATATCTCAGTTGTTTGATCAGATAGATGAACAAAAATGGTGGGAAACTGAACAAGAAGAAAAGGTATTGGTTTTTTTTTTTTTTTTTTGTATTTAACACACATTTTAATTTTTCTGACATGACTTTCTTGAGCCGTTCTTGAGACTTGACACATCTGATTTTGTCTTCTCCTTGTCCCTTTTCTTCTTGTTTTTATGCATACATTTCACACAACGCTGTCCAAAAAAAGATCTTGTCAAAAAAGAAAAAACTGATTAAACTTTAAAAGAACGTCACAAAGCATGGAGAGCTACTGGGCAAAATCACCTAAAAAGATTGTTGGGAGGTCTGGTTGTTTTGAGCAAAAGGTGAATAAATCATTTATCAGGACGGCTTAAAGGTTTGCTTTAACCAAACATACCCTAAAATAATCCTCCAAACATGTCGACAACTTTATATGTTCTGCTTTCTAGGTAGTGCATCCTTTCTGTATTTAAGGGAAACAGAAAAACTAGACTTTTTT